GAAATTTTTGGACATGAAAATTGGGTCGTTACAGATGCTTACGGTTAATACTTATACTAGGGGTACCTTTACAGGACTAACCATTCTTACGCCCTGCTGTTAGCTACAGAGGATAATGAACATCTACGGACATTCAAGGTTAATACTATTCGGCAGTCGCAATGTCGGGTTTATCCTATTACAAAAGGATAATACTTACATGACTATATTTTCCCTATTACTTTTATTTTGTGATACATTCACATAAATGATGAGGTAGAATATATATATTGTTAATAGTAGTCATACAAGGGAAACCCCATCTTTATTACTTTCAAAACATTCAAGTCTTGGTAGAAGACTACTTTTATACTAGTAGAAAATATGAGATTTTCTAGGGTTTTCACACTTATATCAAATGTTTCATTCAAAGATTTACATGGCATTCATAATAGCTTTCCAAAATAGAGTAATGACACTTAAATACTTATGAATTCACTAGCTTTATGTTGATCTACTCTCTTTCAAAATAATTTGTATTCTCAGGTCACCAGTAGACAGGTACGATGACCAGGTTTTGAGAAGACGGAGCACAGACAAGACTCGTCTTTTATTTTGATTACATATTTTGGTGTCTTATTACTATCAAAGAACACACATGTATTAAAACTTTACTTTTAATGCAATTAATGATGTTGTTGCTTGTTTACTACTTTACACTATTATGATACTTCACATGATGTCCTCAATCCCTGAACGTTTCCGCCGTTCTTGGTTTTGGGATGTGACAGACAATAATTTTGTAGGGTTCCTGTTTTCTTAAATTCAAGGCTAAGTTAAAATTGTAAACTAAATTAGATTTTTATATATAGTTTTTAGATGTTTATCTTATTTTGATTTCCTAAAAATAATGTTAATTTAAATTTTGTTAGCGTTTTTTGAACTTTTGGTTGATGAGTTATGTAGTTTCTTGAATATTGTTTTGCAACTAAGTCCCATCATGCTACTAAACTTAAGACTGGAGGGGCAATCAGTCATTTTATCGATAATATTATTACTAAATAATTATATTTATATATATATATATATATATATATATATATATATATATATATATATATATATATATATTGGAAACCTTATATACCGGGGGAGGGAGGGGGGGGGGGGGGGGGGGATGGCCCCCAAGAATCTCCGCTACTGACTTGACTCTTCTTGAAGATTCAAATATCCAATACAAGTTTATGAAGGTGATGTTTGTTTTTTGGTAAAAAAAATCTTTTTTAACCTCTTATTTCGGAAAGACATTTGAAGAAAAACTGTTTGCTTTTCAGAAGACTACAAACATAAAAAAGTTTTTTATTTCTTTTTCAAAAAAGCAAAATAAAAATAGTTTTTAATTTCGGAAGATGTTTTCTAATTTTTAACTTTATGTCATATTTTTATTTCCACCACCAATGTCACCATCACCCAACACCACCTAACAACCCCTATACAAATTAAAATTAACCAAATTTCTGGGTTTTTTTGGTATTCCTGTTCTAAAACTTGAAATCCAGTTCCATCCTACCTGCTTTGACATTTTAAAAAAATATGCAATATCATATACAAGATGACTAAATCAGTTATTTTATTACTTAGAACTAGATTGTGATACAGATACAAATTAAATCTCTCTACAATATCACTCACTTCTCACCTAAACTAACTTACTCTAACCTAATCAATGTAAACTAAGTTAGTTTACTTATCTAAAACTCAAAAATACAAGAAATATGAAAAATGGCTACTAGAGTTTGAAGTAGATAAAAAGTATGTGATATCTAAAGATAAGTTGCTCTCTTAAAATGAAACAACCCTAAATTCAGCTTATATAACACACAAAGTGAAAATAGGTTAACTCATAAGTCACTTAGGATCCCTGTTAGACTAAGAACTTCACAATTTAAATATTTAATACATCAGATATCAACATGAGCAAGTTCAGCCCTTTAGCTTTTTTCACAACATACCCTCAACATTCAACACACTCACAAAACCTACACAAAACAAATTAAGTTAAACAAAATCTATACAAATAAAACATTTATTGTCAGATCGAAATTAATACGAGATGATACTCATATTTCAATACATTTTCGGATCTAGACCCATTTTACCTGGACCCCTTATACCGGTTGGGTTCCCAATTCCACTAATAGTCTGATTCGGTTTTTGAGTTTTTTTGGTTATGTTAGTAATTTTAGTGTAATTATTATTATTGTCGAGACATACCTGATTCAGTTTACTATCCAAGACTGAAGGTGCGGGGGTGCAAACTTAGAGTGTTAAATGTTACGGTGGTTCGGGGGCAGCACCCCTAGATATAGGGTTACAAGGGACAGCGCCCCTGGAGGGATCTTAGGGCAACACCCCTTGCGGAGGCTAAGGAGCAGAGCCCCTAGCGGTGGCGGTGGTGTAACCAACAGATGACACTATGATGATGTAGGCATTAGTTGTGTCCCTTAACTACATTCTTTTGGATCTAGGGACAACATCACTGGCGGGGTCTAAGGGGCAGAGCCCCTAGCGGTGGTGTAACCAATTGATGACATCATGATGACGTAGGCATTAGTTGTGTCCCTTAACTATCTTCTTTTGGATCTAGAGGCAGCACCCCAAGCAATGGTGTAACCTATTAATGATATCATGATGATGTAGGGAGCAGTTGTGTCCCTTAACTAACTTATTTTGGTGCTAATTTAGTGTAACAAACAATTAACCACTTGCATTCCTTGTATAAATGCAAGATTAATGTTACGTGAAAAGGGTTGACAACTCATATATATGAAAATGATATTTATCAACTTTCTGTCTCAATAACACAAATCATCACAATGTATTATCACAATGTATTATGTGTTTTATGTTTTGGATTAAACTTGTAATCTAAATCAGATTATTAGATTATCTCACTTCTGAATCTGTGTAACCTCATGTTATAAAAGACGAATTATAGATTTCAAAAAGTGATATAATCACGATCCAAGTAATATTGAAATGTTATTGTTATTCCGAAATCCATCCCGGTTACATACCTACATAAGATGTCTAAGAAGGTGAATCGCCTAGATCGGTGACCGAATTTATTATTATTAACTGTTCTCTCCAATAGTCTCTCCAATAATTTTATAATACGACTAAGTGGCTTGATTCCTTTATACTTCATATTAAAATAATGTTATGTAAAATATTAGAAGATAATATATTATACGTAAATTAATTTATATAGTAATAATTATCGCTTTGCGATGACCCTTCGATCTCTATCTATCGGTACATGGGTACATCTATACCAAACATTCGCCGACCCCAAATTGGATTTCGCCAAGAAGAGTCGGAAACTATATAGGTTTGAATTTCGGAAGTGCGATTTGAAAGCCATAGATGGATGAAGAATCTGAATTTGCCTGATTTAGAACATTGATCATCGTTTTTGCATACTGTTTGCCTGCGAAATTAGCTCTTAATTGACTTTGCGCACTCAACGGCGATTTAGGGTTCGTAGAAGGCTGGAGCAACTGTTTCTAGCCTTTCAAGAAATTCAGTCTCCAAGTTCACCTTTTTTTCGTCTGCGAAGCAACGATCTATGTTCAAGTAAGATGCTACGTCAAACCCCAATCTACTTTGTCTGTTCTTTTCTTTTTTGAACGATATAATTGAGGACACTGGGCCATTCTAACACTAGACATTGTTCCTGGTTTTATTCAATTGCCACTTTTGGTGGAGTCACTAGGGTTACTTGATAAAAGCATTCTTCTAAAACCTTTATCTGGTTAATTTTGACATATTGTTGTGTTTGTGGTTTAACTGTTTCTTGTTAGTGATGATGATGCACGATCTGCCCTCACCAACATGTATGAGTATTCACCAGTAGATGGGTTTGTAGAGATCTCACAAGGGTTGGGAGACATGATCAAATCCTTAGCAAATGAACCCTCAATGGGCCTTTTCTACATTCAACAACACACTCACAATGCTGTTCCAAACCTCGTAAGCATCAATAAAAACATCATGACCAAATCCCGCGAAATGAGTCTACACACAGAAGATTCTGAGGATTCAATCACAATGCTGAGATCAATGAAGGAATCTGGATTCCCTATTGTCGATGACATGGTTAAAGACATCACAAAATCTTTAGCTATTATGTCATCAAAACAACCTAAAAAAGGGTTGTTGATTAGTAACAACAAATCTTATTCGGGAACAACAACAATGTCTGGGACTGGTAGTTATTTATCGTCTGCTTTCAAGTCTGCAAAATTAAAAGCAACGAATCTGAAATGGGCTTCAGTTGAAACCTCAGAGTCATCAATGGAGGAAGAATTGCTTGTATCAAGTGGGAATGGGAATGAAGATAAAGATGAATTGATATTGAATCTGTCAAGGTCTGAAAAGTTTGATGAATTTAAAGCAGATAAAGAGGCTAAACTGGAGGAATGGTTAGGAGGTAGTGATGATTGATGAATAAATAAAGTTTGTAAATTTAAAATTGTTGTAATAAACTACACAACAATGTCAATGGCTTAATCGTTTTTTAGAAAGATTATGTAAAGTGAATGCCCAAAACCTAAACCTGTGGTTTTCATGTCATGGATTCCGTAGGAATTGGAATATAAATTTTCATCATTAAATTCTGTGACTTAACAGATTTTATCATTCTTTGAAATAAACCCAAAGAATCTAAATTTCATTTCTGATCTTTTAGTTGGGAGTTGTTAACTAAAAATTTTGTAGATCTTTTTCATGTTTCATTGGGTTTTATAACCTAAATCACTTTATGATTATTTTGTCCTTGTTCTTTATACGCAATTGACCGTTGATGTAAACTTAAAACTGGCGCTTCCCTCGGAAAATGATGATGTCAACAAATTAGGTCACACCAACAAATAAGGTGAAACATCATTATTTCAAACAGACATCTAAATATCTAAATAAATAAATAAATACCCATTACAAAGTAAACAAAAAAAAAAAAAAAAAAAAAAAAATCTTTTTCTAAAACTCAAACATCTACACAAGTCCCGTTTTTTTTTTTTACAACATTTCACCATCTAATTCTACTAAATCCCAATCACGTGAAGCAACCCCAACACCAAGTCCCTCAACATTCGGAGGATCAGAGGCAGAGGCGGAGGAGCTAAAATTACCAATCAACCCTTCACCCACATTCATATTTACACTTGGAATCGACTCACTAACCACCAATTTGGTCATTCCACTTACACTACCACCACCTACTTTAACTTCCACGTCATTACCCCCAACCCCTTTAACAGGAAGCGATTGATTATTGTTTTTCCGCAATATCTTCGCCTTTCTGAAACACAAAAAAAAAAATTAAATCAAACAACGTAACATAACATTTGGATGTAAATACAAAAAACCTACCTCACCAACTTCTGCTTCATAGCTGATTTCGGCTTCAAGGTTCCTTTTTCATAAATAAAATACAAAAATGTTAGTCCTTGAATAGCACCACCAGTGGCAGTATTGTAAATACATATTTAAAAAATATATATATATCAAAGAGTTCACCAGATTTAACAGTTACTGCAGGTTTGCTTTTACTTCTTTCAGCCTTAATTTGAGAAATAACATCATCAGCACCAGGTCCCAACCCTTTCCTTCCAATCAATTTCACTCCAAGTTTCTCAATCAAATAATTCAACCTCATTTCATCACCTCCTTTCACTTCCCTCAGCTCCAACACTTGTTCCCTTGATAACAAAGTATACACATAAACCTCTTGTTGCTGATTAAAATGCGACTGCAGCTGTTGGAATATTAACTTATTCGAATACAACTGACCTTCTTTCCAACTCTCTTGCCCTTTTTTCACAAGCCCCACACGCAAAACACACATCGCTCCCAAATCCTTCTTACTATAAATAACCGAAAAACTCCCGAATTCCAGATCCGGCTCCCGAAACAGATCCGCAAGAACCGACCCGCAAACGTACGCGTTTTTTGATGGGTTTTTCTCGATTTTACCCCTGAGAGCTCGATTGGTGTCAAAATGGTAAATATTAGCAGCTTCTCTTAACCCGCTTAAAAACGCGCCATGCATGGTCGCAGGGTAACGTCTCGTGGTCGCCTCCCCAGCGAAAAAAAGCTTCCCGTCCCCTACACTTTCTGCTAAAATGTCGTAATCGTCCCCGGTGGACCCCACCGCAACATTTGAATACGACCCAAGAGAAAACGGGTCGCAACCCCATCGTGTGCACACAGTTTGTATCGGTTCCGGGACTTCGATCCCTTGTGGCGAGTATATGCCACGTAGGATTCGGAGGATACGTTTCACCGCGTCAGTGGGTGGCATGCTTTCGAATGAACGTGCAGCTTCACCTGCCACTAGAGCCATTAACACGGGCCCACCTGCTACGTTTGCATAGCTGTAGAATAGAAAGAATTCGCCACGTGTACTTGGGTTCTCGGATAAATGCCCAAACATGTCCAAATCGGTGCCCCAAAAGGGATTAGGAAAAAGCATTGCGACTTTGTTTAATAAACCGAATCCTAATCGTTTGATTCCATCTAATTTTCTTTGAGGTAATGCAGGGGTGAATTTAATGAACCCACTTTTTAAAACCCCAAGTGGAACAGTGCATAAAGCAATGTCTCCTTCAAAAACTTGTCCTCCATTCACAGCAACTTGTACTCCATCACTGCTGTAACGAATAGAATTTACTGTTTTTTCGTAAAGAATCGGGATGTTTTCGGCTAACGCTTGGACCAATCTCCAGTTGCCACCTGGCAAGAAACAATGGTCGCCTCCCATGTCATACGGGTCATCTTGATCCCAAAATGCTAAAGAGAGTTTAGAGAGTAAACCCGCGTTTGCATATTCTAGATTAGCAAGATGCCAATTGAAGAGACTTGTTTCTTCTGAATTTGAAGAGTTGTTGTCAACTTCCCAAAATGTTTCCAAAGCTGCCCCTAGAGAAACATCTTGTGAGACTTCACCCATTAGCTGTCTAAGCTTGCTTGCTTTGTCTAGGAGTTGATTGAAAGCTATTTCAACTTTGGTATCAGTTTTGGAATCTACTGGTGTTCCATCTAATCTATAGAGTGGACATTTATCACGAATTTTATGAAGAGGATATGATAATTGTCTGGCTAAAATCCCAAGAGGGTTTCCATGTGTACCTGTTAAAACACTTCCTCCTAAATCAGCAGCTGCAACTTTATTTCCTCCTTCCATTTTCCTGGTGTAAACTCGTCCACCTGGACGTTTTCTTCCTTCCAAAACTGTAACTTTATACCCAAATGTCATCAGTTGTCTTGCAGCTGCAAGTCCGGAAAGACCAGCCCCTATGACTATTACATTCCCTTTTGTATTAGCTTCAGCCAGAATTTTATCTTTGATCAATGGTGAAACCCCAAAATTGATGTATCCATGTGAGAGTAGATAGTTATATGCAGAATCTAAAAGCTTACTACAATGCGAAGGTACAACATCGAGAAACATCTCTTTTGTTACCCAATTGAATACGTTCTCTCTCCATTTGGTGATGATATGGTTTCGAATCAGTATGTAATTGACCTGTTCGATTCCACCAACAACCGAAACAACTCCTGCGTCGATTTCTTCTTCTGTAAGTACATCCGCCGGAAACCCGGCGGTTAAAGCAATCAAAGCTTCGGATGTTGCTTCTTTGTTGATTACTATTATTTCATCGGATACACCTACTTGTGCTGCTTGATCTGATCCGATGTTAGGGTTTCTATCAAAATGATTAGAACCGAAAGAATTTTGTGTTGTTTGGTGATTGTTGGGAAATTCGGGAGGTAAATTGTATACCTGATTGGAGGAGAGAGTATCGTGTGGCCTGCCTCGTCTTCGTTTTCTCGGAATACCGAGTGTGAGCAAGTCGTTGACATTGCTAGGGTTTGAGAGTGAAGAATTAGGGTTTGAATTGGTGTCAGAGTGGGGTAGAACGATGGTGAATTGCAGAGGGTTGTGAACGTTAGGGAGAATTTGTTGTTGATGGGTTTCGTTCGAGGGGTTCATGGTTGGAAATTTGAATCGAAAGAATATATTTGATCAGCAAGAACTGATACCAGGCGCCATGGACGATGATGATACATTGCAATGGGCTACTGTTAAAAAATTTTATTAAAATATTAATATAATCTTATTGTAAATTAATATTTATTTATTTTGATAAAAACGATATTTAAATTATAAAGAGGGTTAACTACTTACCAATTCTTAAGATCAATTTATCAATCCATTTATGATACAATATAACAATCAAAGTAAAACTATTATTAAGTTATGTTGTTTTAGATTATAACAATAAGACTCGAAATGCATAAATATAAAAGTATATTAGTATACTATAAAAATATATATTCTCTTAAATAAATTATTATTATACGTGTCCTAACCAATTTAAAAAGTTACAATTATGATTATAAACTCATTACTCTAATTTAATATTATGTGATTTTACATGCAAAATTAAAACAAACCCAATTATAATTAGATCATTTGTTTTAATTTGGTGTTTTATGAATTGATTCTATACTTTTTTTATCTAAAAATTGCAACGTGTGACTAGATAGATAATTTAATGAGAAAATCTTAAAATATATGTTATTATCCAAAAAAAAAAATTTAAAAGGATCATCTTAAATAAACTCTAATCTTAAGTACAAATCTTAATGCAAAAATAAAGTGAAAACTGAATAAAGCCTACAATTTGATGGTAAGCCGTCCACCATTTTAAATATTATGTTGAGCAAATAATCAGAAAAAACGAAGAAAAACATCATAAGAATTAACATGGTTTGGTCGATGTGACATACGTCCACAGATAGGAACCAAATATCTCTTTTATTACTCAACTATGTAAGTTATTTGCTATTATGTTACATATGACCTAAATCATTAGATTAACATAGTTAGGGGTGTTTGGGGGTGCTTTTTGAACTCTAAAAATGTTTTTAGATAGAAGTGTTTATTTGCTTATAGTGATGGTAAAATGAGTTTTTTAAAAAGTGTTTGGTTAAACTTTTATAGTGAAAAAATCAATAAATCAATAAATTAAAAAAATGTTTGGTTTAAAAATGTTTTTTGAAGTTATTTTGGTTGAAAAACCATAAACAGTTTCAAAAAATCACGTTTTACATGCTTATTAAAAAATGTTTTTTAAAGCTTATAGAAAAACTATTCTGAAAAGTGCTTTTGAGTTTGCTAAACACTTTTTTTTTACTTATTAACTTTTCCAAAAGCCAATAAGCACTTTTCAAACTTAATTCCAAACACCCCCTTAGGTTGCTATCGTGGATAGAAATAAAAAACCTTGTCTATTTTTGTGAAGTTCATTGCTATATGGTATGAGTTTACTATGTAAAAATGTAAATTGGTTGGCTATTATGATACATATGACCTAAATCATTAGATTAACATAATTTTGCAATGGTTTTTTGTTCTATACAATAGACAACAAGTATAGTATTTTACACAAGTTACAATATCATTACAACTCATTGTTAATGTACATTATTTCTTCAAAATGACTAAATTAACCTTGCATTATCCATGTTGCACCTCTGCTTGAAATGCACGATTCAATCTCAATATCTTCTTTGCCAGGTTACGAATATCATCTCTACTCGATTCCACCGAAATTCTGGCAAGTTGTTTAACTCCTCCACTTGTCACAAAATCCCTAGTATTATCCTCTGAAAATAAATACCAAAATTAAAACACACATATACCAATGTTTTTATTTTTTGTGGGTCCATTCATAAAAACATAATATGAAAAAAAAAAAAAAAAAAAAAAAAAAAAGTGTTACCATTTTGTGCTAAATGACAAAGAGCAAGCTCAATGTGACGGCGGGTTGATATTGAGGAAGTATTTGAGTTTGCAAGCAACCATGAAAGGACACCATCATCCATTAAAAGAGAACGACCTTCCTTGTGTCCTTTTGAGTTAAAAAGTAACCAAGGTTAAGTTTAAACTGAACAGAAAAATTACATTTTTGGTCCCTGAGTGTATCTGAGTTTTTCATTTTTGGTCCCAAAAAGTTTTCTCTTCCTTTTTTGGCCCTTATTTGCAAACTTGGTAGCAAAATTTAGTCATTTTACTTGGAATAGCAACCAAAAACGTTGCAAAAACCCCACATAAGGACCAAAACTGAAAAAATCAGGTATACTCAGGGACCAAAAATGTAAGAAATTTAAAACGAAAATTATGTAATATTGTTGACCTTGAGTTATTGCTCGAGTTTCACATTTAGCAAAATTTGCTAATCCCCGAGCCACCTGAGCGATGACATCATTATTTCCAGATCTAACCATCCCCAAAAGTGCTCTAACACCACCTTGTTCAATCAGCAGTAAATGTAACTTTTCTGTTATGGTAAATAATAACAAAAAAAAATCATGTCACTTAAGTGAATAAAATGAGGCAATAATTTATATTCTCTGAAATTTGGAGATTAGTTAATTACCATTTCCGCATAAATTTGCAATTGCTCCAGCTACCATTCTGAGAGTTTGAGGATCATCTGTTTTTGATGATGTATGTGCTAGTAAAGCAGCACCTCCTTTACCCATGATTAATCCTTGATTCAGTTCTACCAAAAATGAAAAAAAAAAAAAAAAAAAAAAAAAAAAAAAAGATTAGAGAATGGTGTAAAAATATTATTAAATATAAAAAGAGGTTAATAGAAGATATAAAGGGAATACCATTCATTGCGAGATTTGCAATGGCTCCAGAAGCAACCCTAAGTAGTGTTGTATTCTGGGAGGTTCTTAATAGAATCAGCAGTGCATCTAGACCACCTTCTTGTACAATTTTTTCCTGATTTATATCTGTAAAAATAATAATATTTTTTTAAGAGGATTAGATTACATAATACACAGGTAAAGATTATTCAACAAAACCTACCTTCAGCAGCAAGGTTTGCCACCACTTTCACTGCGTGTGTTTGGACATCTAAATCAGCAGATTGCAATAGTGCCAATATCTTTTGAAGCCCAACTATAATATACAAAGAAAAAAGTAGTTAAATTTCCGTAATAATTAAAAAAAAGGGTTTTCAAGATTTAATCTATAAAAGTATATGCAAAAACTTGCCTTCTTCACATATCTTAGCTATAGTGGTACGCTGAAAAGAATTTGATTCTCTTGATTTGTTTGAATTGTGTAGACCCAAGGGGGCCCCATTTGTTGATCCTCGTGCAATATTTTCTTTCATGGAAGGTCTCTTGTCCTATTAAAAATTTAAATATAATCCCCAATATATCCAAAATGGAAAATATTTTTTTTTAAAAAAATACCTCAAAGTCATCCTCGCTTTCGGGTACTGCATTTTTTATACTACTTAGCTCTTTTTCAACTGCCTTCCTTCGTTTCTCCTCAAGTGAAAGGGCTTCTCTTACAGTGTAAAGTTCATTGCTTAATTTATCCTACAATAAAAATAAAAAAGGTATCATGATTCATGAGTAATTTATCATTTTTTTTTCTTCACATTTTTGTAACCTTCTCTGATGATAAGCTTTTATATTCTGTTTTGACTAACTCAAGTTCATCAAGAGCTGCTTCATGAAGCTGAGACATTTCTTGTAGTTCCTTTCTGAGAGTGTCAATCTCCTGCAACCAAAGAATAAATAAATACAACTTCGAACCTTAGTTAAAATTGGAAATGTTGATTTAATCTGAAAACTTACTTGTAGTGAACTATGATGATCACTTGAAGCTTTCTTTAATGAAATCATGTCATCTTCCAAACCAACATATCTTTCATGTTCATCCTCCACTTGTGTAACCAACTCCATAATTCTTTTCTCATACATCTGAGTGGTTTCTGCAAGTGCCTTTTGGTATGTAGAACGTTCAATCTCATATTGCTATTGGAAAAACAAAAACAAATAGTTATAATAAGCTTTGTATCTTTAAAAATATAGGTAATAATACCAACATTATTTACACTTTTCTATATGTAACACAAACCTCCATTGACTTTTCATGACTGCTTAGTAGATTTTTCATTGAATTTAACTGTTGGTCAATGTTGTTTGACCTTTCGCGTTCATCATCTAAATGTGACATTAATTCGGATATTTTCTTCTCATACATTTGTGTTGTGTCTGCAAGTACTTTCTGGTATGTTGATGTTTCAACCTCGTATTTCTACTAGCATTCAAGAAATAATTTTAAATATTTGTGGTAAAAACTAAAAAACTCAAAAACTCAAAAATAAATAAAACTATAGCTACTTTTTATTACCTCACAATGCTTCAAGCTTCTTTCTAGACGTTCAACTTCTTTACAAACTATCTCATTCTGATCTTTTTGAAAATTCAATTCCTTTAAAACATCTTTCATTTCTGATTCCAGTTGAGATTTATCCTTCTCTAACACCTGAATCCAAATGTGAAAAAATTCAGAAAGGTCAAAGGTTTTAGAAATAGTGAGTCAACTTCCGGAAATATGCCAGAAAGAGAGAAATGTACCTCACACCTTGCAATTAATGACTTTTGAGCTTCCTCAAAGCTATTTTGGCACTCTTTAAGATTATTCTCTAATCTTAATGTGTTGTCTGCTTTGGATTTTTGTTGTCTGTCCACCTCCTTTGTGAGTATATCAATTTGATTCTCAAGTTTGTGACACAAACTTTCATAATCAAACTCTTCTTTTAACTTTACATAGTTTACTACTTTCATGGCCTGATAAATCATATAAGTGTCGCAAATTAACAATCATCACAATGCAATTTTATAAACAGAAAAATGTAATAGTAAATTTTATTAATACCATTTGGAATTCCAACTTACCCTTTGCCCAAACATTATGGTGCTTGCAGTTTCTGTATGGTATTTAGAAGATGGTCCAATTGTTACTATTAGAGATGTTCTTGCAGAGCCTGTTTGGTTTCATAATTTCATTAGCAAGAGGTAAAATGGTCATTTACATATCCCCCTCAGGGAAGGGTAAAATGGTCATTTACATACAGTCCATTCGGTCCACTTTATCCATACGGGATTTAATAAGAA